AATGTAGCTGTGTTACATATATGTACCAGGTGTGGTATTTTTTTGGATCACACAAAAATCTGTAGAGTGCCTATTGTGTGAGGAATGAGTGTGTGAATAAGGAAGAGATGTCTGTTCAACGAGACCAGGCCACATAAATATAAAATAATTTTTATTATTATTATATGTACATACACGTGTGTGTAAATACCATATCTCCTGAGGCAAGAAGTGGCATTATAACTGAGTCCACCTTGGAATCCTTAGCCACTAAGGATTGGTACGAGACATCGAAACACAGCCCCAACAACTTTTGGTGGTGAGCTCCCACGGACTGCCAAATCCCCCCTCAAAACAAAGGATCCTCCGAAAGCTGTATCTGTCAGGAAGTGGCCTAGACCACCAGCAGAAGTACTGTCTACGCAGGTTTCTTCTTTGTCCTTGGAAAGATTACGGACACTGATGCCAAGATTGATGGATGAGTGCGCCAATTAGTGAAGTGGGAGTTGGCGAATAGTCACCTGAAGGAATAAGTTAGAGTTGAGAAGCTAGCTGTATATGAATTGTATTTGTATTTATAGTTTTAGGATCGAAGGCCACTAGCTCGTCAGTTGATATACTGTTATGTGTCACCCTCACCAAATAAGTGATTATTATAATTATTATAATTATTATTATTTGTCTGAATGGACACTCTCAAGTAAGCGGGACATCTCTACTTACGGCCGCCTTGACAAAAACCCTGTTTTGTGATGTCATGACTTTAGTACTCTATGACCGCTCACCCATGAGATACTCCGAAGCTCAGTGGTTAGAGCATCCGACCAGTGTACGGAAGCGTCATGGGTTTCGAATCCCGTCAGGGACTCAGAATTTTTTCTTTGCCCCACGCTTGTGACAAACTGAATACAGTTACTAACTACAATGTAGGTACCAATATTCTAACGACAAGTAGGTGCCATGTCATATTTTTTCTGATGATCTCAAACAATCATCTAATTGACAGTGACTACCCTGGGTACCAGAGGCTTTTCTTGCACAGTAAATATTATTAGATTCGGTCAAATGCTACATGTATGTCAAGTCTCTATTATGACTGGAGTGAAAAGCCGCAGCTCCATTCAGCCGATCTTACCCCATGTGTGCGCAAGAAAAAAACCTCTGGCACCCAGGGTACTGACTGCCAAATTATTTTGCATTTGAGTACTTTCTTGTTTGTTTGTTTCAGATAATGATCCTAATGGTGTTGCCACAATGCTGCCTAAAATTTATATATAATCAACAATAAACTGTCAAAAACTGGTTTGACAAGTTTACTGAAGATAAATGAACAAAGTGATCAGTTTAAATGAAACTGTTGTGCTCGGGGGGGGGGGGGGGGGGGGGGGGGCTACTCCCTACAAGGATTGACTGCAGATGGAAGTCCAGCACTTCTTGGAACGACATGGTAAATGTGTCTTGTTTGTTGATCTTCTGATTTTGAGAAATAAATATTTATGCCATACAGTTTCCGTACTATTTGCGCGAAGTAAATACAAGTAAGCTTAAGGGGGGAGAACCTAAACTACAAGGAACCACAAAAATGTTGCTAAGGAAATCTCTAAACCTCCATAACTTGGTTCCTGGACTCCAAACTCTTAAAGCTTTAATAACTTCCGAAATAATTGTACATTTCATCAAACGCATGCTACAAGTTGTCGATATTGAACGTTCTTCAGCAAATTCTAAAGTAATAATTTGAAAAACGATCAAATCCTTCCGAGTTTTTAGACATTTTTCATTTTGGTCACGTGTGACACACTAAATATGGAGCATGGTTCGAAATATTTAAAGGTGAACGTTGAATTGAACAAACACTACAACGTTTGATGCCCACTGGAGTCCAGGAACCAAAGTTATGGAGGTTTAGAGATTTCCTTAGCGACATTTTTGTGGTTCCTTGTAGTTTAGGTTCTCCCCCTTAACTGAATCAACTTTTAACCAGAACGCACAAAATGAATTCAAAGTACATGTAATGGGTTTTGAACATTTTTCAGCGTATTGAAATATCCACTCCAATGTTTATAACGATTTATTTTGCTTTCATGGAGACTCAGCCAACCGTAAACCGGCCTGTAGTTTGTTTTACCATGTTTTTAAGCTATGTTTATCGGCTTTTGAGTTTTTGTCGGGTATAATAACGCTGCAAATAAAGTGAATTGAAATAATGTGAGTCCATTAAATGAGCTGAAGTGGGGATTTGATCTTTAGAATGATGCATTCGCTTCCATATTTGATAATTTGTAAATCAAATTGACTGAAAAAATCTCAAATTTATGCAAATTTTGAAAATGAACATATTTTTGAATTTATAATGAGAATGTCACGGACAAGCTTTATGCCGGTGGATCCCGCCGTGGGAATGGAGAGGATCACAGGCACACCGAAACACCCTGGAAACTGAGCTTAGTATAATAAAGGGTATGGATTTCACGAGTTTAAGTTTAGAAATTAAAAGGGTAGGAAAAAACTGTCATTTAGGTATTTAAAAGGGCCATTCAAAATATCTTGAACAGGCGCACCTAACGGCTGATTCAAATATCTGTACTGGTAATACTTGATGTTGTCCGGCGGATATTGTTCATCATTAGTTCATTCCAAGGTATAGAAAAGGGATGCAGTGTTTCTACTGTAGGTATGTGAAAGGGGTACCATTTTCTATTGAAGGTATACGAGGAAGGGTTACCTTTTCTGTCAAAAATGGTATATAAAAGGATGAGGGTTTGGACCTCGGGGCAGAGCCTCCCCGTATAATAATAATAATATTTAACTCTGTCGAGTAACCCCCTCCCGGGCCGTTGTGCTGTATATACTTGAAGTTGATAAAGATAGATTAACTACCGTAGCGAATTCGGAAAAGCTTTTCAAAATTCGCTACTGGCGGTTAATTTAGCCTTATCAACTTCAGTTGATAATCAACTAAATGATTACAATTCAAGATAGCATGGAAATGAGATTATCAACTCCGGCAAATGCAGCAAATCATTCCCTTTGTTACCACAGGCCACCCAAGCTAAAGATAAGAGAAACAGTGTCACGTATAAGCGGTATTGTGTTACAACGGCTCAATTTATAAGGGTTTGTATGGGAACACAATTGGTTATGTTTTAGAAGATATAAAATCGAATGTTTCTGTTGCTGTGTTGTATTCTTTGTAGTTTGCTAGCTTCTCAGGCTGGTTTGAGAGGCGATTTAGGCGAGTTTTAGTTTTCAAGGTTTTCCGTTAATATAATTAAGGGAAGGCAGGAAAGAAGATTTCAAATCCAATCACTCGAAGATCGATAAATTCCGTTAAAATGCTCAAATCGCCTCAAAACTTCCACCAGTGTAATCTACCGATAACGAATGTTCCCTCTGGTTGTTTTTTTCGGCCTCCAAATGCCGTTCTAAACTGCAGATAAACGTTCGTCAGTTCGACACTCACGTTTGCCGATACCCATTGGACGTTTGAACCACACACAAAATGGCGTCATGTCGACAAAATCACCCTATGCCGGGGAGGGGCATGGCTGTATTGTCATTCATGCAAAATGACACTGGGTGGCCCGGAGAGGTCGATTGTCACTTGAAATTGGAAACCAGCACGTAAAAATTTCCCACCTAAACGTCGACCGCTAACCTATAAATAGGCTCCGCCCCTTTCTCTCTCCCAGGTTCGCGCGGCTCGTTTCGCTCGCATCCAGGCTTCGCGCGGCTCACTTCCCCAACGCGGAGCTTATTCATAGGCTACCGCTAACCGTCACATTCCAGCGAGGAATCGATCGATCCGTCCGTCTGAAAGCAGATAAGCTTATTTTATCGGACTAAATCAATGTTTTCGAAAATAGCAAGCAGAGAAGAAAAATATCTAAATCTTGGAGATACTCAACAGCGTAGAAATTGCTTTTTAATCCGTTCGGCCTGAAGAACAAGGCATTTACTGTTAGATTCAAATTTCAATTTGTGTGGTTCAAACGTCCAACGGGTATCGGGAAACGTGAGTGTCGAACTGACGAATGTTTATCTGCAGTTAGAACGGCATTTGGAGGCCGAAAAAACAACCAGAGGGAACATTCGTTATCGGAGATTACACTGGTGGAAGTTTTGAGGCGATTTGAGCATTTTAACGGAATTTATCGATCTTCGAGTGATTGGATTTGAAATCTTCTTTCCTGCCTTCCCTAATTATATTAACGGAAAACCTCGAAAACTAAAACTCGCCTAAATCGCCTCAAACCAGCCTGAGAAGCTGGCAAACTACAAAGAATACAACACAGCAAACAGGGTAAGTCGTTTTTATTCACAAAAACATTCGATTTTATATCTTCTAAAACATAACCAATGTGTTCCCATACAAACCCTTATAAATCGAGCCGTTGTAACACAATACCGCTTATACCGTGACACTGTTTCTCTTATCTTTAGCTTGGGCGGCCTGCATGTGTTGTTACTGATACTAAAGTACTCCAAAAATTCCCATGCACGATCAAACTTAGCCTAAATTATTTGATAGTATGCCCATCTTGCTTGTACGCAAAACAATCAACGTCTGACGCTGTTTATTGGATTTCAATCGAAGGCGATGTATTTCAATCTTAATTTGTTTCTTGATTGCCAAACTTTGACATAAAATTTTAGTACGTACACACATCAAGTTATCATGTAAAATGAACTGTCTAACCGAAATAGTGGATAAATATATAAGCAGCCCCGAATAGAATAGGAAACATACTGATACATCTAAGCATATAAGCTTACATGTATGGCACACATGACACGCTTGTGTACACAGAGCTCTGATTGCCATATATCGATCTTTCAGAGCATGATACATATACACTGAAAAAAAAGTTATCGAATTCAACAATATTTAAGCCTTCGAGACTTCAATGTTTTCATGTTATAGTGAGATTATTTTGCACCCGGTGTTGTTGACTATGAAATGTTTTGACAACCTTATTACCTGGAAACGCGGAAATGACAAGAACATCAGCTTCTTCGTCTTTCTGTAAGCGTCGTGATATCCCCAATACACAACTGAATCTTGCTAACTCCAACTCGCTGTAGTTCAAGGATATTGTATCGTGAATAATCAGCGACATTTTCCAGTTTTCTGCTTGACAATGCAAATGTGCACTACATGTCTGTTGTATTTACCGTGTTTGTGCTGTTGACTTGTCACGTGGGTCGAATTGAAAGGTGAAGGAAGTGGGGAGGTGGGGATGGCGGGAATAGGGACGGGAAAGTTCGATTTTGTTTGCGGCTTTTCGCGCGCACCTGTGGCGAAAGTTGAACGGCATATGCTTCTACCACGTATTTAAAAGCGTCGTTTTCACAGGCACAGGCACCGTCCATACACTTTCCTATGTTTATTTTACGCAAGTACAACGCCACATGTAAAAAGTTTACCGGGTATTTTTTTTTTTGGGGGGGGGGGGGGGTGCTGGTGCTGGTCCCGATGGTATGTCGACTCCAGGCATGACCCCTGCCGGGGTGGGGGTAGCTTCTTGAAACCCTTACCTATTTCAGACCAAAAATGGTCAAAATCTATACCCTATTTCAGACCAAAACGGCTCAAAAACCATACCCCTTGGCGCCCCGCACATACCTATGTAGCTTATATAAGGGAGTACCCCCCGGGTTTGGGTTGAGGGTGTGAAGAAACGACTTGCATTTCAGGCTTGGGTGAAAAAGATGAATTGAGCTTAGCTAGAATGAGAGTGAGAAACAAGGAAAACGCGTGTAAAGGCTATTTATTGTATTTTTATTTATTTATTGAGCCATGCGTTACGAAAATTCAGATTATTTAGTTCACTGTACAAATCCGTCCAGTTTTTCGAAACAACTTTT